CCCTTGATAATTTATAAGTTATTATTGTTTTTTTCATGTCTTACACTGTCCAATGTCTCCCTTCACCCACTTTTCTGCTGTCTATTACCCAGGGAGGGGCTTATATGTAGATCATTGTGATTGGTTCCTCCTTTCTCCTCCACCTTTCCCCTTGCCCTCCTGGTATCACTATTCTCATTATTATTCCTGAGGGGTTTTTCTGTCCTGGATTCCCTGTGTTTGCAGCTCTGGTCTGTACCTGTGTATATCCTCTGGTCTAGCCTGATTTGTAAGATAAAATTGGAATCATGATAGTGGTGGGGAGGAAGCATTAAAGAACTAGAGGAAAGTTGTATGTTTCATCGGTGCTATGCTGCACCCAGACTGGCTCATCTCCTCCCCTCGACCCTTCTGTAGAGGATGTCCAGTTGCCTACAGATGGACTTTGGGTCCCCACTCCACACTCGCCCTGATTCACAATATGAGTTTTTGTTCTTTGACACCAGATACTTGATCCTATCAACACCTCATGATCACACAGACCGGTGTGCTTCTTCCGTGTTGGCTTTGTTTCTTCTCAGCTAGATGGCCATTTATTGTCTTCAAGCCTTTAAGACCCCAGATGCTATATCTTTTGATAGCCTGGCACCATCAGTTTTCTTCACTACATTTGCTTTGTCTTCAGCGATTGTGTCAGGAAGGTGAGCATCATGGAATGCCAGTTTAACAGAACAAAGTGTTCTTGCATTGAGGGAGTACTTAAGTAGAGGCCCAATGTCCATCTACTACCTTAATACTAGACCTGTAAATATATGCACACAAAGCTATTTCCCCACTGTCATATATAGATATATTTACATATGTACATGCCTATATTTAGACCTCTGTAAATGCTCTTTGCCTTCCAGCTCTTTCCTCTATTTCCTTTTACTTTCCTCTTGTCCCACTATCATGTTCAGCCTTCATTTGGATTTCAGTAATTCCTCTTGGTTACATTGTCCTTGATTGAGCCCTACCAGGCCTCCTACACTCTCTTTGCCATCGATTTTGGATCACTTGTTGTTCCCTTGTTCCTGGATTTGTTAACACCCACTTCCTTTCCCCTACCCACACCTCTCCCTTGTCCCCAAGGGAACCATCTGTCCTGTTGCTTTCTCCTCCAGATTGTTTACCCCGCTTATCTTATCTAAATAGACCTGCAGAGATAATAATATACACAAAAAAACAAGACAGAGCAAAACAAAGCAACTAAAGAAAACAACAACAACAACAACTATACTACAATAAACCAACAACAAAAAAAGAGAAAGAAAGGGAAAAAAGCCTGCAAATAGCTCAAAGACTCTTTGTTGACCTTTAGGAATGTTCTCTGGTTGAGTCTGATGGGGTGCCACACCCTGGCCCCAAAGTCTAATTTTGGTATTCCCTGGGGACTTCGTTGCTCTGTTCCCTTGTTGTTCTGTTGCACACCCTTAGTGTTTCACCTCAGTGTGGTGGGTCAGATTGGGCGCAATTCCCACACTGTGTCTTTTGTCTTGTCCCTCTTAGCACTATGGGTCAGTGAGGGACATCGTGTTTTGTAGTGTGCCTGTGCTTTGGCAGCTCTGAGTGCGAATAACATCCTCAGGGCTTAGTGGGCCAGGTAGTGTTCCACTTTCTCTTCCTCTCCCTTCATTTGCTCCTGTGTGCTCTGATCAGACATGTCCCTCTCCCTGAGCTGTAGCTTCAATACTGTCCTCTTAAGTGAATTATTCTGTGGAGATGGGGGCTGTCCATGTAGTTGGAATTGGAGCCAGCCCCACAGTCCTCTCTGCGTCATGCTGGTATGTTGCAATGGCATCTTGGAGCACCAGGTTGAAGCCTGGTCCCCTTTTCCCTGTGGAAAAATAAACAATACCCTCCCCTTGGGTGGGTTAGTGCAATGTTGATCATTGGATCCTAACTCTGAGAGGAACTATGCAACAGACTCTTGATTAAATAACTGAATTTCCCAAAGGCACAGATGTATCTTCTGTTTAATCATGCCCTGCCTGACCTCTGGGTGCTTCCAAAGATCAGAAAAAACTAAGAATTGGTTCTATGACCTTGAATAACATGCACAAAATAAGTAAATAGATTTTACCTCCGTCAAGTTACATATAACAAGTCAGTATAGTTGACTGAACACTGGAGTCAGATTCAGATTTGCTACTTACTGACTATATCTATCTTTGGTTTGTTAGTTCCTTTATATAAAGATTATGAATTATGAAGATAATTTTTTAAAAATCATTTTACTTGGGGCTCATAGAGCTATTATCACAATCCATCCATCCATCCATCCATCCATTGTGTCAAGCACATTAGTACATCTGTTGCCATCAATGTTCTCAAAACATTTTCTTTCTACTTGAGCCCTTGGTATCACCTCCTAATTTTTCCCCTCCCTTCCTTTCCTTCCCTCATGAACCCTTGATAATTTATAAATTATTAATATTTTTTTCATGTCTTACACTGTCCGATGTTTCCCTTCACCCACTTTTCTGTTGTCAGTCCCCCTGGGAGGAGGTGATATATAGATCATTGTGA